GCTCTCTCAGGATCATGTGAAGTTGCTGCACCTAAACCTCACCTCTCAGCATGGATGCTGCATGACTGAACCTGGAGGAGCAGGCCTGCTCTAGTCAAGTCCAAGTTCTATTGGAGAGTAGAAAACACTCCAACAGAGCGACTTACCTGGCAAAGTAGAAGCGCTTCTCCTGCTGGGCGTCAGAGTGGAGGAGCTCCCCAACCCAGTCTTCTCTGCAGTCCGTTCTGGACTACCTGCTTCACTTGAAACATCAAACTTCTCGATCAAGGTGCACCTGGCAGCCATTTCAGCCTTCTATCTTCGTGTCCAGGGCAGATTGGTATTCTCACATGAAGTAACTATCGGGTTTCTTAAGGGCCTTGAAAGACATTTTCTGTCGGTCCAGTGCCCCAGTGGGACCTCAACATAGTTCTCTCTAGGCTCACTGGCCCTCCCTTTGGGTCTCTAGCCTGCTGTTCTCTTTCACATCTGTCATGGAAGGTTGCTTTCCTTGTGTTTATCACTTCAGTGAGGCAAGTCTGCAAGATTAAAGCCCTTATGTCAGAGGCCCCCATATGGTGTTCTTCAAGGACAAGATTCAGTTGCGTCCCCATTCTGCTTTCCTGCCAAATGTGGTGTCACCTTTTCATGTTAATCAGGACATTTTCCTCTGGTGTTCTGCCCAAAGCCTCACATGTCCAACGAGGAAAGGCGCTTGCACACCCTAGATGTCAGGCGGGCTCTGGCATTCTACTTAGAGCATACCAAGCCCTTCCGTAGATTGACTCAACTCTTCGTCATTGTGGCTGACAGGATGAAAGGCCTCCTGGTGTCTTCTCAAAGCTTTCGTATTGGATTACTACCTGCATTCGTACTTGCTACAAGTTGGTGCGGGTTGTATGTCCACTAATAGTGACGGCCCATTCAACTAGAGCTCTGGCGTTGCCAGCAGACTTTCTAGCACAAATACTTATCCAGGATATCTGCAGGGCCACAACATGGTTTTCGGTGCACACCTTCACAACCTCAGCAGGCCAGAGATGAAGCTGGCTTTGGCAGAACTGTGTTGCAATCAACATATCCATGAACTCCTACCTCCCTCTGGAGATACTGCTTGGGAGTCATCTAACATGGGACAGACATGAGCAAGCACTCGAAGAAGAAAAAATGGTTACTAGCCTTCCATAACTGTTGTTCTACAAGATGTGTTGCTCATGTCCAGTCCATGACCCGCCCTCCTTCCCCTCTGTCAGAGTTCTGGCAAGAAGGAACTGAGGGAGGGGGGAGCTGGTGGCACCCCTTATATCAGCTCATATGCGCGCCACTCCAGAGGCCGCCAGAGCTAGTCCCCTATGGATACCACTGAGGAAAAAACTTCTGGCACTGGTGCACGTGGCGAGCGCACACACTTAAATAACATGACGTGAGCAACACATCTCGAAGAACAGTAGTTATGGAAGTTTAGTAACCATTTTTTTTCTACTCCCTCTTAAAAACTACCTTCCCCATCCCTCTTCAGGGACCCCTCTCAAGAGGCCTCTCAAACAGGAGGTGGACTCCCTAATTTAGCTTGGGGTGACAGACTGTCTCTCCTCAAGACAGGGATAAAGCTTTTACTCAAGATATTTCCTTGTCTCCAAAAAGGAGGTTGGGCTGGAGACCCACTCTAGATCTCGGACAGCTGAGTCTTCATACACCATTTAAGATTCAGGATGACCCACTTGGCCTCAGTAATCTTTTCCCTAAATGAAGGCAACTGGTTTGTGGCCCTCAATTTTGAAGGATACCTTCTATCATATAGACATTCCTCCAGAGCACAGGTGATTACTGTGCTTTACGATGGGCCGAGGGTACTTTCAATGCAGAATTCTCCCTTTGGCCTCTCAGGGGCACGGAGAGTTTTTACAAAGATGCTCTCCATGATAGCAGCGTATCATCATTGTCAAGGCAACCTGGTATTTCCTTAACTTGACAGTTGGCTGCTCACAGAACGATTGTATCAGGAGGTACAGATAGTGGTCTTCTCATTACTAGAATTTTTTCAGTCATTGGGACTTCAGGTAAATCTAAAAGAGTCCAGTTTAAACCCCCCACCACCACCACCCAAAACGTAGAGTTTACCAGAGCAAATTGGAACTTAGTTTTGGATAAAGCATACTTGCCAGAGAACAGATTCCTTGGAATGAGCGACCTCATTGTCCAACTCTGTCTCATCCTGCAGATGCTGGTCCTGTCCTGCTTCGTCCTTCTAGGCCTATGACCACCTACACCTACGTGACATGTTTTGCAAGGCTCTGCCTCCAGGGCCTCCAAACATGGTTGTGGATGGTCTCTGCTCAAGCAGATGCACCCTGGATAAATGTTTCACTTTCTCTGTGTCCCCTCAGGTCCCTTGTTTGGTGGAAAACAAAAGGGGTTTCCTTTGGTTTCCCCACCATCCACAAAGAAACTCATTACAGATGCCTCACTACGGGTTGGGAAGTGCACCTGGATGATCATATAGCTCATGGCTTCTGTACTCCACAAGATTAAGCCCATTACTTTTTGTCCTACCTTCAGTGAATATGGAGAACAATTGATCATCTTCCTCTTTATAATTGCCTTTAACGTATTTGAAGACTGTTATCAGGTCCCCCATCAGTTGTCTTTTCTCAAGACTAAATATGCCCAGTTGTTTTAACCTTTCCTCATAGGTCAGGTTTTCTCAACCTTCGATCATTTTTGTTGCTCTCCTCTGGAAACTTAAATATTTGTCAACATCTTCCCTGAAATGGGATGCCCAAAACTAGACCTAGTACTCCAACTGAGGCATCACCAGTACCAACTAGAGTGGGATAGTTACCAGGAGTGTCTTTCATATGACACTCCTGTTAATACATCCCAGAATATTGGACTTTTTTGCTGCAACTGCATCTCATTGTTGACTTATGTTCAACTTGTGATCCAGTGTAGCCACCAGATCCTTTTCTGCAGTTATTTCACATTTTGTAGATGTGCATTTGATTTTTTCCTTCCTAAGCGTAATATTTTGGTGCTTGCCTTTACTAAATTTCATCTTGTTAATTTTGAACCTCTCTCCAGTTTATCAAGGTCCTTTTGAATTTTATCCTGTTCCCCTCCCAGCTAGTCATGTGCAGATTTTATAAGCCTACTCTCCACTCTATTATCCAAGCCTTTCATGATCATTTTGAATAATACCAGACCTAGGACAGACCCTAGTTGACAGTGGAACATAGAACATATGACAGTGGAACATAGAACTAGTGTGAGTACAGTTTGTCAACCAATTGTACACTCACCTGATAATTTCATCTAGACCATATTTCCCTTGTTTTCTTATGAGAAAGTCATGTGGGAGCATGTCACAAGCTTTACTAAAATCAAGATAAATGGTGTCTTCTGCTTCCCCCATCCACTAGGCCCAATACCCATCAAAGGGGGAAATTACGTTGGTTCAGCATGATTTGGTCTTGACAAATCCATATTGGCTATTATTAATGACCCTATTTTTCTCTCTGTCCACAAATTGAGTGGTTAATAATTTGTTCCAGTATCTTTCCAGCTATCAAAGTTAGGCTGACTGGTCCATAATTTCCTGGGTCCAATTTGCCCAATTAAAGCTGGGTACAATGTTTGCTCTTCTGATGATGATGGATCAACCTCATCCATCCTCCATGAGTTCTTGAAGATAATTGCTAATGGTTCTGAGATTGCTTCATCTAATTCCTTAAGAGCTCTAGGATGAACTTTTTCAGGCCCTGCTGATTTGAATAAATCTAATTTATCTAACTGTTCTTTAATCTGTTTGTCTGCTATTCTGTCTTGAGTTCCTTTCCCCTTGTTCTTAATGTTAATTGTGTTAAAGAATCTGGTCACAATTAACCATTTTAGTGAAGTCTAAAGCAAAATAAGTATTAAACATCTTGGCCTTTTTGATGTCATCTGTTAGGACTCCTTCCTCACTAAGTAGTGGACATGCACTTTCCTTCAGCATTTTCTTGCTTCTAATGTATTTATAGAGCCTTCTTACTGACTTTTCTGTCCCTTGCTGGATGTAACTCAATTTGTGCTTTAGCCTTTCTGATTTTGTCCCTACATGCTTGTATTATTTTTTTGTACTCCTCCGTAGCAGTTTGTCCATGTTTCCAGTTTTTGTAGGATTCTTTTTTGATTTTCAGGTCATTAAAGAGCTTAAGAGGGAGCCATATTGTCCTCTTACTATTTTTCCTAGTTTTCCTTCTATCAGGATAATTTGCTCTCTTGCCTTGAATATTGTCTCTTTGAGAAACAGCCAATTCTCCTGAACTCCTTCATCCCATAGATTTTCTTCCCATGGGGCCTTACCTACAAGTTCTCTGAGTTCGTTAAAGTCTGTTTTTGAAGTCCATGGTCCTTATTCTGTTGTTCTCGTTCCTTTCTTTCTGTGGAATTATGAAGCCTATCATATTCATAATCACTTTCACCCTATTTGCCTTCCACTTTCAGATTCCCAACCAATTTCTCCATTAGTCAGAATCAAGTCTAAAATGGCTGCTCCCTAGGTACTTCCTCCACCTTCTGAAACAAAAAGGTGCCCCCAGTACATTCCAAGAGCTTACTGGACATTTTGTGTTTTGCCCTATTACTTTTCCAACAGATGTCTTGGTAGTTAAAGTCCCCCATTACTACCAGTTCTTATGTTTTGGATATTTTTGTTGTTTGTTCTAGAAAAGTCTCACCTACCTCCTCTTCCTGAGTTGGCAGTCTATAATAGACCCCTGCCATGACGTTACCCCTGTTTTTTTCCCTGCCTTTCCCCTTCAGACTAAGCCTGAAAAATCATCTATTAACAATTTAAAACTGGCATAGCCTTCTGAATAAGCCCTAGCAGAAGGGCATTAGTATGATATCATGGTAGCATTTTGTAGATGTTAAAATGTTAGTATTTGGGCGTAAGCTGTTCATGACATCTCTAAAAGCCTGAATGAATAATCTAGTGTTAACAGTGCAATTTTTAATTTGTACTTTTTTTAAAAAAACAGGTTACCATGAAGACCAAGCAACTGAAGGAATCTGTTACACATACTCCAGGTGTGTGACCCCTAAGTCCTAATCAATGCTGTTAATAACAAATTATTTATATGATGGGTTTCTAATGTAGAGGCCATTTTGCAGCTTTCAGAGTGATGTTTATAGCCTTGGCTGTAGAAGCTCCATGCTCCTGCTCTCAGCAGACACCAAGGTGGATGAGCATTTTAAGGAAGTCCTCCCATTTAGAGGTGGCTGTGTAAAGGCTCTCTAGGGTATTATTATTCTATTTATTTATTATAATGGTGCCCACAGCGTGCTAGTCAATTCAAATATGCAAAAAAAGCCAGCCCAGATAAATACCTGCCTTGAAGAGCTTACAATCAAGTTGAGACGACTGACAAAGGAATATAGGCTTGGGGAATACAGTACAGAACTTTTAACAATGTATTTAACCCTATGTCATGTTGCTCCTATTTTATTTGTTAGCTTTTTATTTCTTTTTCTGGGGAAGGGAAGATATTTCAACCTTTGCCAATTTCCAATTTATTTTATTTTAACCCTTATTTCTGTGGGTTATTTTTTAAAGATTTGAATGAGTAATCAATTTGTAAATGTTCTGGATTTGCAGTTCTTGCCATAATTAAATAATATCTATCTACTAGAGCTCAGCAAATACTAGAAAAACTTTTCATTATTTGCTCAAATTTAAAATGAACTCTGTCTATTTTGTCATCTTTTCTCTGTGTGCGCTTGAATGTTGGGGGAAAACAGTCTAGTTTTAATCCCATACGTGCTCTCAGAAAGCATATTTTAATGCACACTCACATGCCAATACTACCAAAACTTCCATATTTAAATAGGATGGGTAAGGGACAGGGTTTTCTAAACCCCTCACAAGAGCCATGAGAGGGCCGCTGAATTAGTCACACAAGGATCTGATGGGACCCTTTGCAGCTAGGATGGAACATACGTGCTCAATTTCTTGTGACTCCAATGAGACAACTAGATCCAAACTGCAATCAGCCAATAAATGTTACAGTAGATTAATCTTTCCAGGAATGATGAAAGTTTAAAATTTTCTAAAATTCTCCTATCCTGCTTATTTGTTACCTCTCCCAAAGAAGATTTGAGGAGGAAGGGGGTAGATTGAGACTGACAGATGTGGGAGGGCTGGGGCATCTAGTGGATACAGAGAACAAAGAACAGAAATGAATCAAGGGAAATGACCATTTACAATAGGAGAAAATGAGGTGGGAGTGTTGGACAACAGAATGGGGTAAATATGAAAGGCAAGGAATGAGAGGAGAGAAGATTATGAACTATAAAGGAAAGAATAATAGAGAAAACAGTAAAATGAGAAGAAGAGATGGCTATTATGGACTGATTTGGATATGGAAGAAGAGAAAAAGGGGATAAGCAAATCAAAGGGGAGGGAGAGAAAAGGAAAGTTTAGATTAGTGATTTTTTTTATTGCAGATGTTCGTGCTCTTCGATTATATTTCCCTTGCATTTATTCCTTGGTTCTAAGTTTGCTCAGAATAGTTGCCCAGTCCCTTCTTCTCAATCTAGTACATTAGTATAACTGGCCATTCTGAATTATATAGTTCATAGCTTGAGAAAGCAGATAAAATGTATCAGAATTCACAAAAATATTCCATTGAATGGGGACCTCATGCACCATATACAGGAGGAGTAACCATCTTTGAACTCTTAATGTCTATGTTGGCCTTTTGTGTTGCATATCTGATGGGAAACACAAAGGGCTAGATCCACAAAGGGATTTAGGTGCTTAATAGCCACATAAGTCCAAAATTTTGATCCTCAAAACCCCTTTTCAGCTGTCACCTAACCCTGTACACTCCTACATTCCCTGAGCACCTAATTTTCCCCCAGTAAACTCCCCAAGGTGCCTACATTTCTTCCAGTGGCTTTCACAAAGCTGTCTAAGTCCTGCTGCCACTGAGTCACTCAGTGCCTAAACTCTAGACCAGGGAGAGAGTGAGAATGACTCTGTAGCCTAGTGATTAGCACATACTCCCTGGAGACGAAGGTTCCAGTCCCTGCTCCAATGGCTATTTGAGTATTTTGTAAAAAGTGTGGAAGAGTTTCAACAGGAGAGACTGAGAGTGGCCCACTACAGAATACTTATAGCCCAGTGGTTAAAGCATTCATCAGGTGGTGGCAGAGACCTGAGTTCAAGTCACTGCTCCAAATCAGGCAGGGGATATTTGAACCTGGGACTTCCACATCCTGGGTGAGTGCTCTGAGTGCTGGGCTGTAGGGCAGGGCATAAGGGTGGAGTGTGGCAACACCATCATTTTTTGTGAGAAAGGGCTTACCTAACTCTAGGAGAGGGTTCACAGCCATGAACCCCAAGTGGAGATAGGCGCCTCCCACTGGCCTGGAATTAGGCACCCGACTCCCTTTGAGGGATGGGGCTTTGGCCCCACCCCTCTGCTCAGCATTTCCTGCTGGCTAACTTAGATGGCTCCCTACTCAGCTTTCTGGCTGTTATGAATCCTGTAGTCAGGCACCTAACTTTCCCCATGCATTGTATAGTAAGCCGGGGCATCTAATTTGAGGCTGAAGCTTCTACCAGGTGGCAAGACACCTAACATTAGGCATTGTAACACTGAGTCTGTTTGTAACACAAATCCTCTTTGTGGATCTAGCTCAAAATATATTTGGGCTCTGTGGTTTGTAGGTGATGAATTTGTCCTTGGCAGGTTACTCCAAGTAGAACGAGCTTTTTAAAAAAAAAAATTTTTAAATCTTCTGAAATGCAGAAAATTGCCCTTCGCAGTTTGAAATGGTTGGGCAGAGGAGAGCCTCAGAACTCCTGTAATTTTTTTTTGTTCCTGCACTCACTTTGACTGGCTACCAGCTGACTGAGAGGGGGTTATGCCACAACCCCTGCCTCTGCAGTTCTGTTGGTTTCTGGGGGACTCTGAAACCCGGGTTCTCAACCACAAGGGCTCTCCCTGCTCTGTGTCTCAGCTGTAGATCACTTGTCACCACCCAGTTCCCTTTTCATTTGACTTTAGTGGTTTTTACATATAATGCTATTTCCAACAGGAATTGTTAGACTCTCTGAGCTTAGAAACTTGGCCCAGAATTCCAGAAATGCCAAAACCAACATGGATTTGCCAGACCATATAATTACGCAGCGAGAAATAGATGAGGAGGAGGAGGAGGAGGAGGAGAACTATAATCGTGACCCAGAACAGATGGCTATTCCAGCAGATCACAGAGAGACTATGACAAGTGAAACCAGACACCGCAAGAGAAAAACAGCCAAAGCATCTGAAGTAATTCCAGCAACGATGAAAGAGGTGGCAGAAGATAAATGCAGGGGAAAGCGTCAGAAAGACTTTGATAACACAGAACAGAATGAATATAGCGATGATGAGAACAGAAAAAAAAGAGAAAGCCACAATTCTGAAGAATTGTGGACTCAAAATCAACAGAAGCTTCTTGAACTAGCCTTACAGCAGTATCCAAAGGGAACATCAGACCGCTGGGATAAGATAGCAAAATGCGTCCCAGGCAAAAGTAAGGTAGGGTCATTGTATTGTATGGGATTAGACTACTAATAAACCAATATGACATCTAGGCAGGTCTTTTCCTATCAATTAGCTGCCAGCCTGAGGTCTTTAATCCAGCCTGTCACTATCTGAAAACTCAAAAGGCCCAACTCACAGGGTATTGTCACCACATATATTGATACTTTATTTATTCAGTGGAATGCATCCGATGAAGTGAGCTGTAGCTCACGAAAGCTTATGCTCAAATAAATTGGTTAGTCTCTAAGGTGCCACAAGTACTCCTTTTCTTTTTACAAGAACTAGGGGTCGCCAAATGAAATTAATAGGCAGCAAGTTTAAAACAAACAAAAGGAAGGGTTTTTTTCACACCACGCACAGTCACCTTGTGGAATTCTTTACCAGAGGATATTGTGAAGTTCAAGACTATAACAGGGTTCAAACAAAAGAACTAGATAAGTTCATGGAGGATAGGTCCATCAATGGCTATTAGGCAGGGATGGTGTCCCTAGGCTCTGTTTGCCAGAAGCTGGGAATGGGCAACAGGGGATGGATCACTCTATGATTACCTGTTCTGTTCATTCCCTCTGGGGCTCCTGGCATTGGCCACTGTTGTAAACAGGATAATCGGCTAGGTGGACCTTTGGTCTGACGCAGTGTGGCTGTTCTTAAATTTCCAGACAGTTAAGCAAAAGCATATGGAGAAACTGAAATTATAAACCTACTAGATTATATGGAAGAAAAGCCCTGGGCAGAGCTAACAGAGGCAATGTGTCCATGATCAGTGACCTCTATTTTGTCATGGGGTAGGTTCAGTAAGAGCCCAGTATTCATGACAATTCAATTTGCAGTGCAGTCCAATGTTGATGCCTGAAGCAGCAGGATATCTTCATCTTACTTGCACCAAAAGATCAATGTTAGAGAAGAGGAAATGTGGGTGGGGTTCCAGAAACAGTCTTTTTAGATCTCAAAATTCTCTGGCAGTTCACATTCTAGGATGGGTTTGCTACATTAGAATGATGGTAAGGGCTTGTCTACGCTTGGAAATTTATGAAATAGCTGTTCCAGAGTCTACACTTGGATAGCTACTTGGGTAAATTTCCAAGGTAGACAAGCCCTAAGAGCGAGGCAATCATTTTTCAGACACACTGTTGACAATATTACAAAACTGTGCTACTTCCCTATTTTAATCATTATTCTGCTAGACACTTTGTCAAGAAAGAGACTGTCGATATAAGGTAAATTTTCTCCTATTTTTCTCTGGTCTCTAACAACATCAGTTATCTGTAATGAACCCCAAACTGAAAATTCTTTTTGTAATCCACTTTTCATTATGTAAAAAGAAAAGGAGTACTTGTGGCACCTTAGAGACTAACCAATTTATTTGAGCATAAGCTTTCGTGAGCTACAGCTCACTTCATCTGTAGCTCACGAAAGCTTATGCTCAAATAAATTGGTTAGTCTCTAAGGTGCCACAAGTACTCCTTTTCTTTTTGCGAATGCAGACTAACACGGCTATTACTCTGAAACCTTTTAATTATGTGTACATTGCCCTTGCCTTCTGAAAGCTCAATACATGAGTGAATATTCTTCTACATTTTTTTAAAATACTAAAACTACTTTTAAAACAACGTAACTATTTGAGAGAGAATGTGTACAGTAGAAGTAATATGACGATACTAAATCACAGTTCATACTTTTGAAAGATAAAAGTTTGTTTTTTGTTTGTTTGTTTTTGCAGGAAGAGTGTGTGGCAAGATACAAGTTACTTGTTGAACTTGTACAAAAGAAGAAAATGGCTAAAAGCTGAATCTTCTGAGCAAAAGAGTTTTATTTCTATTTTTCAGAATGAGATTATATTTTAAATCTCATATGCAGAAGTATGCATTTTTGTACCACAGTATTTCTATGTCATGTGCCTTAGTAAAAGAAAATATCAATAAATTTTAAGCCATCTTGCTTAACCATTTTCTGTGTTAAAGAATTTAAATGTATTTTTGTTTTGGAGAGCTATTTATAAAGACATCTTATTGCATGTCTTGGTAATTGGTAGAGCTTTAAGAAGACCCTCATAGTTTATTGCATGATGACTTCAGTATGAATGAATGTGCAGTATATAAAGGGTAAAAGGTCTAACCTTTAAGGAGGCAAAAGAAATATATGTTAGCTGTACTGAAAATTTAAACATGAGATTGTTGAAAAAAAATTTAAGATTTTTCTTTATAGACACACTACACATATGCATGTATATCTGCATATGTGCATACAATGTGTGTTCATTTATATGCATGTACACATGCTATTTAAAATGTGTTATATATTTGAGAGTTATGAACTTCACACGTATTCATGTCTATTATGCCTGCTATATAATTGCTCTTTCAAATATCTTACATGATAATATATAGTAATATTTAGTACTATTATTTAGCTATATTTTAATTAAGGATTTTCAGAGGATTTTTTAATTGAGAAAGACTAATATATACAAATGTTTCATATCATTCAGATTTTTAATTACAGAATTTGATTTAAATATAACATGCATATCCCCACCATTATTTTAATATTTCATATTTGTGCTCATACATTTTTTATTTCTGCTGCTTCATTTTTACAGCTGAACAACTGTATTTAGTTATAGTTCATCACTTGCTGCTCCAGTGTTTTTCACAACTTTGGAAAAGCTACAAGAAAGATTTAAACAACAAAGTGATAAGTGTCTGAAGGTCATTAAAAATGACACCAATAAATTGGAGAGGTGAAATAGACCCTTGTGCAAGAACATAGAGGACTACAGCATCTTTCAGAATTACTCACACTCAAATTTAATATAAATAATAAACTCTGATATGCTTTACAGGCCTTTTTTTCCCCTACAGGGATGCTAGGCACCTACCATTCAAAGCTGAAATCAATGGAAGCTATTGGAGCTCAGGACTAGAGCTGGTCAGAAGTTTTCTAGTGGAACACTTTCATCAGAAAGTGCTGATTTCACTGAAAGAAACATATTGCAGAAATGTGTCAATATTGACAAAATTTCATTTGGGGGAAGAATAAAAGGGGGGGAAAGCATTTCAATTTTTTGTTCCAAAATTTTTCTCTATATATTCTATATTTTTTTAAAATAAAAATGTCAAAATTGAAACGAAATGTTTCAATTGACTCACCACACCGTTGTTGCATGGGAAATTTTGACATTTTTTGTCCAATTTCAGAAAGTTTTGAAATTGTGGAAACTTCCAGGAAATGGAAAATCTGGTTCCTGCCCAATTCTGAAAATTGTATAGTCTATATTTATATGATAAAATTGTGTTACTTTTTACACAGTTATTTTCCACATAAAAATTCTAAGCTGCAAATCTTACCTTCATAACCCCAAAAGTTAACTTAGCAATTGGAATGCATTATATCAACTGTTCAATTATTCAGCACACTTCAGAGCCAGAGTAGTACTACATATCCAGTATGTCCTTTTCAGTCACTTAAAACCTCATTTGTGGGCCAACTTTCTTCCTTTCACTAAGGACTAGGGCCCAGATCCTTCGTGGTGCTTATCTCATGATTTCAATGGAAATTAGGCACCTAAATACCTTTGAGAATCTGAATTTAAATTCCAGCAAATATAAAGTTTAAGCATGAACCATTTTTTTTAGTTACTTGACCACGGTATTTAATATTAATATATTTAAAGGGCATGGGGGGGCAGTTTATCATACTCCTGGGTCTGAAAAACTTCATTGATTTTCCTGATGCTTTCCATACACAAAAGCCACCTTGCTGAAACTAACTATTGTATTTACAGACCGGGGGGAAGGGTCGGAATTTGCAGCAATTGAGTAAAAATTGGGATTTAAAACAATGGACTGTCTCTTTCAACTTTGTTTTATCATCTGTCTGTCTAGCAGGGAAAACAGGAAGTCTACAGATCAGATTCCTCAGGAGTGTCTCAAATTTTGTTTAAATACAACTTTAACTGCCACATCCTGTTAGTGCTTGCACACACTTTCTCTCTCTCTATATATATATATATATACACACACACACACTAGGGCTGTCGATTAGTTGCAGTTAACTCATGTGATTAGTTGCCGTTTTAATCACACTGTTAAACAATAGAATATCAATTGAAATTTTTAAAATATTTTGGAGGTTTTTCTACATTTTCAAATATATTGATTTCAATTACAACACAGTATATAAAGTAGACAGTGCTCACTTTATTATTTTTATTACAAATATTTCCACTGTAAAAGTGGCAAACAAAAGAAATAGTATTTTTCAGTTCACGTCATACAAGTACTGTAGTGCAATCTCTTTGTGGTGAAAGTGCAACTTACAAATGTAGATATTTTATTTGTTTGTTACATTGTTTTGTTTTTGAGTGCAGTTATGTAAAACTTTAGAGCCTACAAGTCCACTTAATCCTACTTCTTGTTCAGCTAATCGCTAAGACAAACAAGTCTGTTTACATTTACAGGAGATAATGCTGCCAGCTTCTTATTTACAATGTCACCTGAAAGTGGGAACAGGCATTCGCATGGCACTTTTTTAGCCAGCTTTGCAAGGTATTTACGTGCCAGATATGCTAAACATTAGAATGCCCCTTTATGCTTCAGCCACCATTCCAGAAGACATGCTTCCATGCTGATGATGCTTGTTAAAAAAATAATGCATTAATTAAATTTGTGGCTGAACTCCTTGGGGGGAGAATTATGTCTCCTACTCTGTTTTACCCGCATTCTGCCATATATTTCATGTTATAGCAGTCTCAGATGGTGACTCAGCACATGTTGTCCCTTTTAAGAACACTTTCACTGAAGATTTGACAAAATGCAAAGAAGGTACCAATGTGAGATTTCTAAAGATAGCTACATCACTCAACCCAAGGTTTAAGAATCTGAAGTGCCTTCCAAAATCTGAGAGGGACAAGGTGTGGAGCATGATTTCAGAAGTCATAAAAGAGCAACATGCAGATGCAAAACCTACAGAATCTGAACCACCAAAAAGAAAAAAATCAACCTTCTGCTGTTGGCATCTGACTCAGAGGATGAAAATGAACGTGTCGGTCCACACTGCTTTTGATGTTTATCAAACAGAACCCATTATCAGCATGGACACAAGTCCTCTGGAACGGTGGTTGAAGCCTGAAGGGACGTATGAATCTTTAGTGCATCTGGCACATAAATATCTTGCGATGCTGGCTACAACAGTGCCATGTGAATGCCTGTTCTCACTTTCAGGTGACATTGTAAACAAGAACCAGGCAGCATTATCTCCTGCAAATGTAAACAAACTTGTTGGACTGATTGGCTGAACAAGAAGTAGGACTGAGTGGACTTGTAGACTCTAAAGTTTTATATTTTATTTTTGAATGCAGGTTTTTTGTACATAATTCTACACTTATAAGTTCAACTTTCATGATAAAGAGATTGCACTACAGTATTTAAGTGAATTGAAAAATACTATTTTGTTTTTTACAGTGCAAATACTTGTAATATAAAATAAATAAAAAGTGAGCACTGTACATTTTGTATACTGTTTTGTAATTTAAATCAATGTATTTGAAAATTTAGAAAATGTCAAACTATTTAAATAAATGATATTCTATTACTAACAGTGCAATTAATCTTTTTAATAGTTTGACAGTCCTAAGAAATTCTCTCTCTTGGGATCTTGTGAGCATGTTTTTCTCTCACACACAAATGCTCTGGCCTGGGAACTAATGAATGGGTTAACAATTCCCTCAAAGGTAAGAAACTCTTGCTATTTTGGCATCCAAACTACTCCTGCTATGTAAACTCTGGAACTGCTGCACAACCACAGACATTGCTCACCAAATCATGAGTAGGTACTCAAGTGCTCCATTCTCCAAGGCATCTTCTCAGAGCAGGGCCACCCTCAAATAGACCCATTTGTAACACTCAGCACCTGAAAGTGCTGTAGCTTCTGTTCAGGAGGCAGCTTGAGCCCAGACTTCCTCCTGGATGACTTCCTCATGCTGTGGTTAGGGGGATTATTGTACACCTACCCCTTAATCCCCAGAGTACTCTGCAAGGACAAGCAGGAGTCCACCAGATCCTGGTAGCTCTGGCTTGGCCAAGACAATTTGGGATTTTGGATATTCTGAGACTTTGTCAGGCTCTGGATTCTAGGTGGTCAGGCCTGGTGGTTGAAGCAGCAGTCAAAAACAGGTCCCCATGGTCAAAGCAGGATGTAGAGTCAGGAGTAAGAGGAGGGTAGCGCTGAAACCAAAGTCTGGGGACAGGTCATGGGTTGGAACCAGAGTCAGAGTCTTCAAACAAGCTAGATCAAATTGTAGTTGTAGTCCAAACATAGGCCAAAGGTCAAAGCTGAGTTGGAATCAGTCCAAAGATCTGGGGATCAGGAGACAGGTGCAGGGCTGGAGTGAGGTCAGAATAGAATATAGACAAGACTGAAGTGAGCTGGAACAAGACTCAGGCAAGGCTGGGGCAGGAATAGCTTCTACCTCTTCAGGAGCCAATTCCCCCATAGTTTGTCAACTTGGTTCCTTCAGCACTTATGGACTTTCTATTTGAACCAACAGCTGTGTGTTCCCTCCTACACCTGTCCATGAAAACTTCATTCCTAGTGGCAGTTACCTCAATGAGGAGGTTAGGAGAGATCGAAGTCCTGATGGCTGACCCTTCTTATTCAGCCTTCCATCCTGATAGGGTATCCTTGAAGAACACCCCTGAAGTATTTATCAAAGAACAGCATTATGGAGTTCTATCTAACCCAGCAAATTCACTTACCTGTATTTTTTCTAAGCTTCATGCTTGCAATGCGGAGGCTGCTCTCCACGCATTGGATGTTAGAATGACCAGGCTGGTTTATCCACAAAGGATGAAGCAATTCAGATCTTCACCAAGACACTTTGTAGCAATTGTGGAATGGATGACACACAAAGTTATATCTCCCCAACATTTACTAAATGGAGATTGGC